GGAAAGGTTCAATGTAGGCGTGCAAAAGGCAGACAGCGTTACAAGTGGGAGGATAACATCAGGAGATGGACGAACAGCAGTATGAGTGAGTGTACATCAAGGGCAAGAGACAGGGCTTGTTGCAGATCCATTGCAGCCAACCTTCATTGTGGAGACGGCACCTGATTGATTGATTGAATCATGGTTGCTAGCGCCGCCATACCGGAAGTACCGTATTATCGTATCCTCAACATGAGTAAACCAGATATTTGAAAGAGGTGAAGAGCCAAAGATTCTTCTTTTTTTTTTTCCACTTTCACCGGCTGTAAAATGTCGCATTTTCCATACATCAGTTGGTATATCTCCTGTTAGAGTTATACGTATACTTGGTATTAGGTATACACCCTGTTTGGTATGGTATACCAAGGACGCCTGTTGTTTTCTAACCACAGCCAGTGTAACCAACGAGGCAACAAGTAATAAAACCTGATATCCTCGAGTATCCAGAGGTGGAAAACATTGCCGACATGTCTTTGAACTTGTAAAAGATTTGATGTAAGCGATGAAAACCGCAAAGTGGTTGCCTTGAAATAATTATGGTTGCTAGCGCCGCCATACCGGAAGTTCAAGAAATCTTGTCTCGGAACGTGACATAATTTGGTAAAGTTTGGTTATATTATCAAGTACAACGGCGTATTAGAAGGAATAATAGCATTCTCCGGGACACACCAGTGTGTTGGGGAATGAACATGCGGACATATTGGCTAGCTCTGCACAACTTGGTGGAATACTGATGCACGATAAGGCACACGTGGTTAGTGCCTTGTGGGAGAGCGTGTACAGTTCAGAGGAGCAGATATATCACTACAGTCTGGTGAGATTATTGCAGCGGGGAGTGACAATGGGTTCTGGCAGATGCTTGAGGCTCAGAGGAAAGGCAAAACGGACGTTTAATCAGAATGCTATTGGCACCATTAGTACTGGAATTCTTCACTGTCTGCTCAAGATGGGGACGGAGCGCTTACGGGAATACCCCTTGTCTGTGATGTCGGTTCTTGAACCAACTCAACGCAGAATAAGAAATAAAGAAAGACCCCCTCCTCCCCCCCCCCCAAAAAAAAATACACACACACACGCGGAAAAGGGAGCAGGAGAGTGAAGTTAAAAAGATGGAGAGGACATGAGAACAGCTGCATGCAATAGCGAAAGATACAACGACTTGGTGTGCATTGGTTGAGGGCCTATGCTCCATTGGTGACTAGAAAGGCAGAAGAAGAAGAGAAGATAAGACGGCGGTGAGAGCGACGTTCTGCAAAGGATCCACTGCATGATTATAGCATACGTTAGTTTCCTAGTTACGCTCGCTCCAGAAGTTAAGAGCTTGCTGTAGAACTAGCATCTGCTGGAAGAGTCAAACTTATGAGTCTGGTCTGAGCGCAGTGACATCGATCCCTCATCATGATAATTTCAACAATTCTACCATTCCCTTGCTCACTTTTAGTTATCGTGGATTATTAATTTCATGGCAGCAGCTAAAGCAGTCTTCTGCATGTTCACCGGCTGTAAACTCCGGCTGAAAGTTCCCATTGTTCGTCCACTTCTGGTCTTTGGCCTGGTTTCAGAACTGGCGTTTTGCGTGCACATCCGTTTTACATGTTGATTCCTCGCCTCTCAGGCAGAGAGTTTCAGCTGGTGAACGCCAAGAAGGATGAAGAGATTGCAGCTTAATTCTTATCCGCAATATAACGTACAAACTGCCTTTTTAAAAGAAGAAGAAAAAGGAGGAGAAGAAGAAAGAGAAGTAGCAGAGGCCATTCACGAAGAAATTTAGAAACACAATTCGCGTGTAAACTAGCTAGCTCCCTGCAGAGCAGTGTTGCTACTTTGGATGTTATACATTCGGATTTAGATGTTTTCTTTTGCATTTAGATGATGTTTTTTATGTTTAGATAGTAAATGTTTTTCTAGACGTTATTTTTTTTTTTGAGTCAGATATTTTATAGACTTTTTTTCTTCTTTCAGTGTCAGTTTAATAATTACTGTGTAGAATATTTACTACAATAGTTTTGTTTTGGTCTGGCACGTACATTGTGACAATTGCGATTACTTAAACTTTAAAGTCTCACTGGGGTCAACGCTCAAATATTTGGCAGCCCGGGGTCTGATTAAATAAAAGCCGCATAAATCATACTAACTTTGCTTCAACCGTAGAGGCTTCCTGAAAATCTAGATGTATTAAAAAACAGTTCACTCTTTACTGTGAGCAACATACTTCAGCCAGTAAAGGACAACAGAAATATTGCAAAGTTATGACATTTTTAGGGGCTACTGATTCTCTGCAAGCAGAATATCAGTAAACCAAAATAAACTCAGTTCAATGAACAAACAAAACAGAAACTGAAGCTTTTTGGAGTGAAGTGAGACAATTTAAAGATGCCCCATTAAACAGTCCATTCTGTAAGCTCTTTAAATGTGCCATGTCGGCCATGATACTACACCACTCAAATGCTGACGTAGAAAGAGTTTTCAGTGCTATGAATTATATCAAATCAAACCTGAGAAATATGAGAAATTTGATCTCTTAAATGCTGTCTTGACAATAAAATTCGGTCTGTTGAGAGTAGGAAATGCTGTTCCACTTATCTGCTTCCTGACTGTGTATTAAAACAAATTGGAACAGCTTAAGCATACCAGAGTCATTTTGGATCTGAAGCTTCAACTTTATCATCCAAGCTAAGTTTATCCTGTGGGTCTTGTAAGGCAGGAATCAGTAAAGATGAGGACAGGATTCTATAGGGTAAGTCATATCAATTGCTATGTAATTTGTGACTCTTTCCATTTGGATGTTATTTCTAGATGTTTTCCACGCAAGTTTAAATGTTTTTAGATATTATTTGACTGGGTTCTGGATGTTTTTTGTAAAAAGGAAAGTGGCAACACTGAAGACAACACAAAAGTCAAGCCAAAAAAAACAACTTGCCATGTCTCAAGTGTGTTCGTTTTAATATGCGCATCGTGGCTTATGCTTACGTGAAGTAAGAAAGCATAAGAGTCACCCAGAAGCTATTTTCGTGAACAAAAATTTGTGTTATTTTGTACAGTTAAATTTGGAGTAAATAATAAGCAGTTTTATGGAGAAAGCAGCTAACACTTAGACCCAGAGCACCGACTGTGACTGGACTAGCTAGCAGAGGCCATCTCACCAAACACATGATCGTTAATATGCTAGGTTTTTTTAGCACGCGACTCCACATTTAACACTGTTAAGGAAACAATAACAACAGATTTTCTCCAAACTTGCAGGGAAAATTAGTCCAAAGAGATAAAAAGACGAAAGTACTGAAGTTTAAAAAGAATTTTTGTGATTTAGACTTTAAATGAACTAACAACACCAGAAGTCGAGAAATTTCCAGTTACAGTTTATCGGGCCTGAGTCAACACAGTAGTCAATACATGAACCAAGTGCTACATTCTTAGTCATTCTAATTTGATCTTAAATATATATAGTTAAATTTTAAAAATCATTTTAAAAATGTGACACTAAAAGCCGGACAGGCTGTTTAAATAAATGTGTCTTTACTCACAGCCCATCAGAAAGAAACTGAAACTCAGTCCCTTGCCAGCTCTCCTACCTCATATATACTATGCACTTCTTCATGCTGGTACGCCCATGCCCCTCTTACCTCCCGCCATGCCCCTCTTACCTCCCGCCATGCCCCTCTTACCTCCCGCCATGCCCCTCTTACCTCACACCATGCCCCTCTTAACTCCCACCATGCCCCTCTTACCTCACACCATGCCCCTCTTACCTCCCGCCATACCCTTCACCACTTGTCTACTTTCCAGTCCACCATGTCGTCATGATGCTTGATATGCTCAAAGTATTTCACTTTCCAAGACAAGATGCAGTTTACCATTACCAGCCAATGTTTTTTTCTTCTTCTTCGTGTTCACCAGCTGTAAACTCCGGCGGAAAGTTCTGGTTGTTCATCCACTTCTGGACCGCAGTCCTCCTATTCCAGAACCTGAGTATTGATTGTGCATCCGTTTGACAGATCTGACTAATTTGTATGCAGACTGTTGGTTCCTTGCCTCTCAGGCAGCTACACTCCGACTTCAAGGGAAGCTCCCAATTTGTCGACTCTTACGACATGCTTTTGGCTAGTCAGTAGGTCTATTTCTTTTTGCTCCCTATAATAGGGCCCCGGAACCCACACAGGTATATTTTTTTTAATGTTCAAATCTTTTAGGATGTCAATATATTCAACCGAATAGGCAAATGCTATACTAATTTAATTTTAGAGTAAAATGTTCATAATTTGTTTTTTAGGTTTAATTAATTAATTTTTTTTGAACTTCCACTGATTTTACAGCGATATGATGATGATGAATACTATACTTCTCTTGCATTTCACAATAATTTTTAAATATCTCTAATTGCCCCCACATTTTTGTTTTTGATGCTAGCTATAAATGATTTCCCGATTGCATTTGGATCAGATTGATTATTTACTTGTTCTGTTTGCATCATCTTTCCGCTGTGAAAATGGGGGGGGGGGGGGGGGCGCTGACATTCCCTGTCCAATTTTATAAAGTGACTATGTGACCTCCTTTAGCCATAAGCTATTTATATATTCTCTTTCAAAGTATTTGTTTATATATTTCATATTATTTGAAATATATTCATTTGCCATTCAGCACATTATTATTATTAAGCTGTAAACTAGAGTTTAGCCATACTCCCTCCATCACAGTGTTTTTCTTTGTGTTGGTGCAACTGTCTCCCTCGATATCCAAAGCGGTAAAAGAGAGAGTTAAGATAAAAACCACATGTACATCATTGCCGTCAAACTAAATATCTAAAACACTGTCGTCCATAGTATTCATAGCCAACCATTTTATGTTAAACTTTTGTTCTCTTGCCAGATAAACACCTCAGCACAGATATCAAGCCAAATATGCACAGCTTTTTGTGACAGCAACACATTTATTCAGCCGATGGCTCTTTGACTGACCAGAAAATGAAATTTCGCCAGCGTCTGGCTTGGCTTTTGTTAACCATCTTTCTTGGATTATCGTTTGCGTTTGCCTATTATGTTTTTGAGATTAACGACCAGTTCAACCACATGGCTCTGGAGCATGTGCAGGTGCAACATGGCGGTGACACGAGAGCGGGAACTTTCTTGGAACACGTGACTCATCTGCCGTTAGCAGTTTGGCTGCTTATATTTCTTGTCCATATTTGCAGGTAATTTTAAACGGAGTTTGAACCCCAATTTGATTTATGATATAGATTTATAAGGCAGGCGTAGTGGCTAGATGATTACCTGAGGGCCCAAAGTTTCCTGGATTCCAGTCTGCACTGACTGACTGACTTTCTACCCCACCAGGACATCACACAAGTGATAAACACCCAATGACACAAAGTGCAACTATGTGGGGGAGGATCACCCGTGGAGAGGCCCCAGAAACCGCGTTCAGCCTTTAGGCCATATTTATGGCCAGGCTATATTGCGGCCCCCGGGCAAGAGCCAGAGTAGGGCTTCAAATAACGAAAAATTTCATCCTGAAAACGACGGAAAGTCTGAAATAATAAGTCTGCATTGAGCCAGAGGATTTTTTTCGCCAACAGTGACCTGGCTGCCAGGTTGACCTGGCCTAAATTGAGTACCACGTAAAGTCCTGGCAAGTAAAGGTTGCCGGGTTATTCTTAACCACATTACCCACTGAGTGGGTTTACCTAGTACACCCAAGGGTGAGGAAAGGGGTCCTTTACTTATAGATTTATTATGTACAAAATAGTCTGTCAAAAGTGAACAGGTAAATAACCCTTTCACACTAGTAGCCCTTTCAGACATGTGATTCTAGACTCATATTTAAATAGGCTAGTTGTTTTTCCATGATGCCGACTGCTTTGACTTCTTTGTCCTTGGGGAAATTTATGATACCTATTTTAGATGACACCCAACTAGGCTACACTGTCTTCTTCTTCTCCGCGTTCACCGGCTGTTCATTTCAGGATGAAAGTTCTGGTTGTTTGTCCACTTCTGGATTTTAGTCTTGTTCTAGAACTTCAGTTTTGTGTTCACATCCGTTTAAATGATCTTGCTTATTTGCATGCAGACTGTTGGTTTCTTGTCTCTCAGGCAGATGCACTCCGGCTTTGAAGAAAACCCCTAGTTAGTCGACTCTTTCCACTTGCTTGTTAGGGACGCAGCGAGTATGTTCTCCTCCCCCCTCCCACCACCCACGGTGGGACCCCAGAACCCACACAGGGACTGTAAGGTCTTATGTCTCTACAACTGTAAGGTCTTATGTCTCTACAACTGTAAGGTCTTATGTCTCTACAACTGTAAGGTCTTATGTCTCTACAACTGTAAGGTCTTATGTCTCTACAACTGTAAGGTCTTATGTCTCTACAACTGTAAGGTCTTATGTCTCTACAACTGTAAGGTCTTATGTCTCTACAACTGTAAGGTCTTATGTCTCTACAACTGTAAGGTCTTATGTCTCTACAACTGTAAGGTCTTATGTCTCTACAACTGTAAGGTCTTATGTCTCTACAACTGTAAGGTCTTATGTCTCTACAACTGTAAGGTCTTATGTCTCTACAACTTTAAGGTCTTATGTCTCTACAACTGTAAGGTCTTATGTCTCTACAACTGTAAGGTCTTATGTCTCTACAACTGTAAGGTCTTATGTCTCTACAACTGTAAGGTCTTATGTCTCTACAACTGTAAGGTCTTATGTCTCTACAACTGTAAGGTCTTATGTCTCTACAACTGTAAGGTCTTATGTCTCTACAACTGTAAGGTCTTATGTCTCTACAACTGTAAGGTCTTATGTCTCTCTACAACTGTAAGGTCTTATGTCTCTACAACTGTAAGGTCTTATGTCTCTACAACTGTAAGGTCTTATGTCTCTACAACTGTAAGGTCTTATGTCTCTACAACTGTAAGGTCTTATGTCTCTACAACTGTAAGGTCTTATGTCTCTACAACTGTAAGGTCTTATGTCTCTACAACTGTAAGGTCTTATGTCTCTACAACTGTAAGGTCTTATGTCTCTACAACTGTAAGGTCTTATGTCTCTACAACTGTAAGGTCTTATGTCTCTACAACTGTAAGGTCTTATGTCTCTACAACTGTAAGGTCTTATGTCTCTACATTTTGTTGAGGAGTACAAGTCTGTGGATATACAGCTCACATTTCCTGAAGAAAGCCACAGTCAGACATAGAGGTTCTGAAGAATAAAAAGAGAATTGCTGGAGGTCACACACACCAAAAAAGATACAAATAAAATACTTCAGAAATTTTAAAAGCAACTAAAACATATATATTAAAGGGAAAAGTTGAATGCAAGCGAGCGAATGGTAGACATTGATACAAGCGGGAGGATATTATAAAGAGATGGTTGTATCTTAGCAGTCTTAGAGTGTGCAAACCAGGATAAGATCCAGTAATGGAGATCCATTGCAGTCAACTTTCATTGTGGAGAGGGCACATCTGTTCTCCCTGCCAGTAGGTTTTCAGATGAGAGGGCCATGAGCCTCTACTAGAGCTGTGGTGTAATGCCTGTCCTCCATCATTACATACGGCTTGGTCTCTACCAGAAGGCCAACTGGCCATACCTGGTGGTGTAACGCCTGTCCTCCACCCTTCCATACGGCTTGGTCTCTACCGGAAGGCCAACTGGCCATACCTGGTGGTGTAACGCCTGTCCTCCAGCATTCCATACAGCTTGGTCTCTACCGGAAGACCAACTGGCCATACCTGGTGGTGTAACGTCTGTCCTGCACCATTCCATACAGCTTGGTCTCTACCGGAAGGCCAACTGGCCATACCTGGTGGTGTAACGCCTGTCCTCCACCGTTCCATACGGCTTGGTCTCTACCGGAAGGCCAACTGGCCATACCTGGTGGTGTAACGCCTGTCCTCCACCGTTCCATACGGCTTGGTCTCATCCGGAAGGCCAACAGGCCATACCTGGTGGTGTAACGCCTGATTTCCACCGTTCCATACAGCTTGGTCTCTACCGGAAGGCCAACTGGCCATACCTGGTGGTGTAACGCCTGTCCTGCACCATTCCATACAGCTTGGTCTCTACCGAAAGGCCAACTGGCCATACCTGGTGGTGTAACGCCTGTCCTGCACCATTCCATACAGCTTGGTCTCTACCGGAAGGCCAACTGGCCATACCTGGTGGTGTAACGCCTGTCCTCCACCCTTCCATACGGCTTGGTCTCATCCGAAAGGCCAACAGGCCATACCTGGTGGTGTAACGCCTGATTTCCACCGTTCCATACAGCTTGGTCTCACCTGGAAGGCTAACTGGCCATACCTGGTGGTGTAACACCTGTCCTCCATCCTTCCATACGGCTTGGTCTCTACCAGAAGGCCAACTAGCCATACCTGGTGGTATAACACCTGTCCTCCACCGTTCCATACGGCTTGGTCTCTACCAGAAGGCCAACTAGCCATACCTAGCATCTTGCATAAAGAGAGCATGTCTGAAGCACATGTTCTCTACTTTTTGACAGCTGTCCACTTTGACAAAGTTCTGATTTCCCAGTCTTGTATGTCTAGTACATACGGCAGAAAACTCTCTCGTGTCTGATTGATTGATGAATTCATTAGAAGATTTAAAATTGATGGAAAAGATCTCAGAATAAATTTTGCCAAATATTCAGTGCAAACAGAAATTATAGTGTGAAACAAAGTTTAAAAGACTTAACAGATAACATATTGAATCAGACAAGGATATGTTTTTTCACCAGTTTGCTTCTCTCTGTTTAGCCAGACAATAGTAAAGGTGGTTAACAATAGACCAGGAACATGAGCTAGAGGTTATAATGTAAACAGTTTATGTTATGCAGATGACACACTAGTGACAGCTGCTAACACACAGGGTCTGCAACAGCTGTTGGATGACATTGTGTTGTTAGATGGAAGAAGTGTAATAGATGTTGATAGCAAAATAACCCTAGCAACTGCAGCATATTGTAAAGGTCGACTTATTCTGATTTTGCTAAACTAAGATTGTTGAGTCAGAAGGTGCAGATATCGCAGCCTAGCTTGTAAATCACAACACAGTGTGCTCTGCCCATTTAACATTTTCAGTCCCAAGCAATGGCAGGTGTGTGAAAAGATCCTTTACTTTGTTCTTCCCGGGTGTTAAAAAAGATCCTTTACTTACTTTATTTTGTTCTCCCCGGTGTTAAAAAGATCCTTTACTTACTTTACTTTGTTCTCCCCGGAGTTAAAAAGATCCTTTACTTACTTTACTTTGTTCTTCACTGGTGTTAAAAAAGATCCTTTACTTACTTTACTTTGTTCTCCCAAGGTGTTTGGTTTGCTGCTGGCCTGCACCAGACCCGAGCCCCGCCTTAGCCTCGCCTACATATGGCCAGGTACTCTGTTTGTCAAATCCAGAAAACTTCTGCGACGATACCAACCTCACGATGGAAAAGCAATTAACTCAAGAGTCGTGTTCAATGGTCATGTGGTCGTTTTCGATGCATGAAATGCTCTGTTCATTGTATATAAATGAAGATTTTTTTTAAATGCTACCACTGTGCCATTATATTAATATGTCTGTCTAAATGTCTAACTGGACAGTGTATTTGTTACCTGATATACAAGGCAATGAGACTTTATTTCTGTCAAATCCTATGATAGAAGATTACAATATCTTTTTATGTTTTATTTTAGGATAGTATTGCAGCATTTTAAGGTCTTTTTTAATCTAATCCTAGGATAGAAGTACAAGATTATTTGTCAAATACTGGGAAAGAAGTACAGGATTACAATGTATCATTTTTAGTCTACTCCTAGGATAGAAGTACAAGATTACAAGCACTTATTTTCTTTCTATAGTATAGACTGCAAGATCTTATTTTTCTCCACAATATAATATATAAATGATGTACACCCTAGCTCATGTTTTGATAAGAAACTTTTAAATACCAGATCGCATAGTTTGGCATTGTAGTGTCGAATATCATTAATATTAGAAATGACTGACAGTGTATGAGAGAGAGCTGTAGACAGACGTGATTACTGACAGCACACTGAGTAGTTAGGTATAGTTTCCAGTCTTTTGCTAGTTGCGTAGATTGCGGTAACCTCTCCTAAACTCTCAAGCTGATACATTCTGACTGATCGATTACAGCTGGGGAAGGAGGAAGAAAAGAGGACACACAAGACATGTATGTCCTTCTGTTTCTCTACTTTTTCTATGAATTCTATTCAATTCAATTCTATTCTATTCGTTATATACTGTTTCTATGACCTCAGAGGTTCTCCACCTGTTCATTTCTGAAATTTTAGAAGTAGCATAGAGGAAATTTAGATGCAAATAAACGTTTACATAAAATAGCACACATAGTTTGACCAACAGGGACTCAGCAGACAGAAGGTGCTCACTGGCACACATGCTGTACATTCTGGAGATGATTGTGCCAACTGTAGCTTTGCTGAACTCAGTCCCTGTTCTGCCTGTCGTGTCCACTGTAAAAGGATGTTCCGATCTATTTAAGCACCATTGTGTAAATGAGACTTCAGTTGTTGCATTTTCATGACATTTGCTCCTGTGACGATTTTCAAACCAGCGTAACTTTCTATTTGCTGTTTTCATAAACTTTCACTCTGTGATATTTTAACTATCATTAACTTCTGCTCTGTAGTATATCAACTGTCCACCCGCTTTGGTTCTGTTCCATTCTGTCATCAGCTTTGTGAAATTTTATCACTAACCTCTTCTCTGTTCTGTTTTAACGATCACCAGCTTCCATTTTACTTTTCTCACTATCTGCCAACTTCCGCTCTATACAATTTTAACAAATCATCAGTTTCCACTCTCTACAATTTTAAAATTATTACAAACTTTCTCTGTGTGGTATTTTAACTATCTTACGCTCTGTGCTATTTTTAACTATTGCCTTCTCTTTACTATATTAACTATTACCCGCTCTGTGCTATTTTTAACTATCGTCCTCTCTTTACTATATTGCTATATTAACTATTACCTGCTCTGTGCTATTTTTAACTATCTCTTTCTCTTTATTATATTAACTATTACCCGCTCTGTGCTTTTTAAAACTATCGCTTTCTCTTTACTATATTAACTATTACCCGTTTTGTGCTATTCTAAACTATTACCCTCTCTTTACTAAATTAACTATCACCTGCCCTGTCTATTTTTAGAGGTCTATTCTTTGTTCTTAACAATTGGGGCCCTGAAACCCATGTGGATACTATATAGTTGTCACTAATCACTGTCATTTTGCATCTGAACCTTTCTCTCACCTTTTCTCTGATATGTATGACTTGTACTTCTTTGAGTGCTGGCCAGTACCTGTGAATTGTTTTCTTATACTTTGATGTACATAGCTAAGTTTTCTGTTCTCTATGGTTGTGGAACGACAAAGGTAGAAAACATCTGAAATGAAATGTTTTTGTACATTAAATTGTAAATATACCACAAGTGTTTAATTATTTGGACCACATGTCTCTAGTATTGCTTGTGTTTTCGTATGTTCCTGTTTCCTATGAAACAGAAAACATATGAGTCAGAAATGACGGGGGTCTCAGTGGTAAAGGGGTCAAGCCGTTTGCCTCTCGCTCTGAACATCTTGGTTTTATTTCCTGGCTGTGTTATTCAGTTCACAAGTGCAATTTTTACAGTGATCCCTGGGGATTCTCCCTGGAGCTGCAGAATTCGTGCTTTATGTGATACTCTTGGCAGGCAGCTAGCCCAGCTTGGCCGAGAGGGACCAAGATGTATGAGATAAAACCCAGTGTAGTGACATTGATCCTCTTGACTTTTAGCTTGTATAGGTCAGAATGAAAGATGATATAAAGAGTGTGCCTCTTTTTATGTCTTCTATATCCAGATGGAGCATGGGCCCTCTGCCAACTCTTGCCACTGTAGACTTGTTCATAGTTTGTTGCGGCCAAAGTTTTTTTTTTTTTTAAAATTAATTTTATAATTGGGGTAACCTATGTCAAGACGAACCTAACCATTAGCTGTCTTTTAGGACATGTTTAAAGGGTTAGTGTTACTGCTTTTTTTTGTTGTTGCTTTCCCTTAGAGTCGTGGCAATACATAGGCAAAAGGGTGTGCTAGTGTAAAAAGTGGTTCCGTGGAGTAAGCAAAAATCATAACAAAACAACCACATGTTTGAATGAGTAAAGAAATAAGAGAACTGTCTGGGCAACCGTTAGTATCACCTTTTATAAGACAGAGAAGATGGCGCTACATTGAAACACATCACAGGAGACGAACAGAGAATCACTACACAGGCACTGAGATGGGAAATAGAGGGATTGAGGACATTCCAGAGAAATCCTGGAGCGAATGTTGAGGAGAAAAGGCAAAGCTGGTGGACTGGATTTCATGGTTGGTGCACTTTTATGGGCACATGTATGTGATATATGGTTGGTGCACTTTTATGGGAATGTGAATTTTATGTATGGTTGGTGCACTTTTATGTGAAATGAATTTGATGTATTATGGTCTTCTTCTTCTTCTTCTTCACTTCCTCTTTTACCGCTGTGGGTGTCGAGGGAAATATAAGGTTCTGTTTCTAGCTCTTCTGGCTGCCTCCACCATAGGCACATCGTGCTGTTGTAGAGTTTCTCTGATGTTATCCTTCCATCTTGTTCTTGGTCTACCCCGTGCTCTACGTCCTTCTTCTCTTTCCATGTATGCTTTGTATGGTATGGTATTATGGTTGGTGCACTTTTATGTGAAAATGAATTTGATGTATTATGGTTGGTGCACTTTTATGTGAAAATGAATTTGATATATTATGGTTGGTGCACTTTTATGTGAAAAGGAATTTGATGTATGGTTGGTGCACTTTTATGTGAAAATGAATTTGATGTATTATGGTTGGTGCACTTTTATGTGAAAATAAATTTGATGTATGGTTGGTGCACTTTTATGGGAAAGTGAATTTGATGTATGGTTGGTGCACTTTTATGTGAAAGTGAATTTGATGTATGGTGTGTGCACTTTTATGTGAAAATGAATTTGATGTATTATGGTTGGTGCACTTGTATGTGAAAAGAATTTGATATATTTTTGGTGCACTTTTATGTAAAAATGAATTTGATATATGGTTAATGTACTTTTATGTGAAAATGAATTTGATGTATGGTTGGTGTACTTTTATGTGAAAATCAATTTGATGTATTATGGTTAGTGCACTTTTATGTGAAAATGAATTTGATGTTTGGTTTGTGCACTTTCATGGGCAATTGTAGTTTATGGTTAATGAAATGAGTGAAGTGAATTTAATTTGATGTATGATTGGTGCACTTTTATAGAAAATTGTGGTGATGTTCCTGGTTAGTGCACTTTTAAGGAAGACAGATTGTACGGTGTATGGTTGAATAATTTTTATGGAATACTTTAATGTCATATATCTGGTTGTTAAATTGTTAGAAAATGCAGCTGATATGTCTAGTTAGTGTATTATCATAAAATGAGTTTGATGTGTTTCGGTGATGCACTTTAAACAATTATCCATCCTCTTGACCTATGAGGTTGCCAGGGACCTGAGGAGTGCTTGGACTTCTTCATCTTCACCGGCTGTAAACTCATGCAGAAAGTTCTGGTTGTTCATCCACCTCTGGACTTTAGCCTTGATCAAGAAAACTGAGTGTTACATGTAAATTCATAAATTCATTTACCACGTCTGGCTTATTTGTATGCAGACTGTTGGTTTCTTGCCAATCAGGCAGATGCAGATGTCCCCCAATTAGTCGACTCCAACAACATGCTTGTTTTCCCCACAATGGAGCCCCGGAACCCACACAGGGGGTGCAAAGACAATTCTGTGTAGATGTAAAGTACTTACTCATTTATTTACTTAGTCGCTCCTCTTCAACCTTGTGGGGTGTAGAGGTTTGCCAGAAAGATCACCAGACTTTTCTATCAGCAGTTTTCTTTTTGGTTTTGTTCAATTCCAGCCATAGTGGCTAATTCTCTCCCATTCTGCATTCTTGTCCAAACCATCATTACTATGACTGATCCACTCGAGTTTGTAAGGCCTGTGTTTCAAGATGCTGATAAATTTTCTGATTGCGACCTTTGTCACTTGTAGATGAAAACAGCCTTTAAACACTGGCGGTGTATCATCGGTAGAGCACATGATGGTTGTGATGACCTAAACTGGTTAAGTGCCTAAACTCCATTGGGAGAAAAAAGGCAGCAGCAGAAGAAGAAGAAAACATAGAGAGTGACCCTTTCAACAATTGTGGGTATCAGATTCAGTATGTTGATGTCCTCCCCCTGTGGATTGCAGGGCCCCATTTTTGGAAGAGGGAAGAAAAGGAATAGACCCTCTGCCCCCCTCTAACAAGCATACAGTAATAGGGGGCTAATTTTTTTCAATCCCACAAAGTCCTGGCTTATGTTTGAGGGAGTTACGAATGGCAATACCATACTCGTGGTTATACTACTTCCAGAGGGGCTAAATATATAATCCTTGCAGGGCACAAATATGTTGTCAGAGT